TGACCTGTGGATAACCCCTTCAACCCCAACAGGAAAAGGAATTTTAAAAAACACCCGAAACCCAGTTTTTCCAGTTATTAGCATAAATGGGACAAACTATTTTTCTTAGTGGCCAAATCCTTCCTTATAGGAAGTGCTGGTCTTTGAACTCAGTGAGGGGAGGGGTCATGTCTGCTTTACTGCTATATTCCCAACACCCAGCACTGACTCCCTCGCGCAGAAAGATGTCAATGAACAGCCAAGAAAAGAGGGGGAAGGGGAGGGAGGGAAAGGGAAAGCAAAGGAAAGGAAAAGAAAGGAAGATGGAAGGAAGGAATAAAAGACAGAAGGAGAGAGGTCAGAATGGAAGTAGGGAGATAAGAAAGGGAGGAAAAAGGGAAGGAAGAAGGAGCAGAGGAGGCAAAGAGAGAGGGAGAGAGGGACGAAGAAAATAAAACGAATCCAGAATGAGGTCTTTTCTCCTTTCCTTTTATTTGTGTCTTTATTTTTCTTGAACTCCCAAGCATCCAGCTCAAAGAAAACGAATCACATCTTTTTTAAGGGCTTCCTGTCTGAAGCTATAAGATCTCCAGCGCAGTCAACTCGGCCGCCAGCCACTCTCCGCGGGGACCGAGGAGAGGGTGGGAGGGTGAAATGAAGCTACTGGAAGTTCCCGTCTTCAGCAGTCATTTGTTCAACACACAGGAGTGTGACTGCCACCTCCAGTGTGTGGCACAACACCCCCAGGAGCCAGAGACCCAGCCAGTGCTCGAGGAGGCCACCACCGACTAGGACACACAATGCCTAATTCGAGGTAGGATATAACACAGGCCGGGGGAAAGGGTCAGATAAAGCTCTAAAGAGATCAAGGCAGAGAGAAATTGCTTCTGCCTGAGGGGCTCAGGGAAAGTTGGAGAGGTGACACCTGAGGAGAAACCAGCCCAAGGAGGGAGAGGGGTGGGAGGGCACGGATCTCGGGGCAAAGACAGAGGCTGGTTGCACCACAGGCAGGACAGTATTTCCCCAGAGTGCTTCATAGGGTATATTCTACGGACTTCATATTTGGGAAACCATGGATCCCACACTATTGCACAGGTGTCCGTACTGCGGGCCTTCTCAAAGATTTTAATGCAATTGGAGCAGAAGGGGCAAAAGATTCCATTTGTATATCAGAAAGGACTGGCTTTCAGGTGAAAAAAAAACAATTTATTCACTTACTAGCTGTATTAACGTGAGCAAAATATTTAACTTTTATGAACCCCAGTTTTCTATTCTCTAACATAGAAGAACTGACAGTCCCAACGTCATACCATTGTTTTGAGTAAATACTACATAAAAAGTGATAAATTCAGTGCTGGCACTTAGTTAATGCCCAATATTATTACTGCTCCTTCTACTTCTGTTATTTCTATTATTATCAATATCAATGTGCATCCCAAATATAAAAATGAAGAGTCATGTACATTATTTCTTCAACGAATTTATCAGTGTTTTATCAGCTATTTTTTTAGAAATGCCAGGCCAGCATATAGTGCCAGGCCTAGCACACAGTAGGAGCTTACTAGGTATTCGTGGACAGAATGGGGCAAGAACTAACCCTAGCAAAGAACAAATTGCAGGCCAGCAAGGGAATGCTCTAAGCAAGTTGTTTCTCATTATTTCTTTGGGCAACAGGCATCTGAGGTCCAGGAGTAATGACTTCATCCTTTGCTAGAAGAATGAGAGATTGGGAGTGCAGTACTGAACTTTGGGGAAACATCACAAAGAGTTTATTTTGGTGGAAATGTTTGAAGTGACTGTAACAATGAGCTCACGCCTGCTGCCAGGCACCAGCCATGAGCTGGAGCCTGCTTGCCAGGGAGATGCACACAGCCAATAACCAATCCCACCTCCGTGCGACATATGCAGGGAGGATCCCAGAACACCTACTCCAAAGACAGCTCCCTCCTCTTCAAGAGGGCATACTGAGGCACAAACAAGGAAGCAGCTGAACCAGGATCCAAAGGAAATCAGAAGGTGGAAGAGCCCAGAAAGGCCTGAGCCTTCTGGTTTTACTTGGTCAACTCTCTGGCAGGATTTTGAAGTGAACCCCAAAGAATACTTTTTCTTTTCCTTTTTTTTTTTTGTCAATGGCTGCATACATTTATCTAGATAACTTCATCTTTCATAAGTCACATGCTAATCTCATAAACAGGTCCTAGAAATGAGCAAACTTCACATAAACCCTCCCCCAGAGTGCAATGCAGGGATCCTATTAAATCTCTACAGCTTCTCGCTGGTTTTTGTGTAAAGAGATTCTTGACAGAAATGGAGTCTTCTGGAGTGAAAACCTGAACAGGTTTGGAATATGACATTTGCATTTTACCAAACTGGATCCTTATTATATGTCCACCTGATTTCAAGCAGAGAGTCTACATAGAGTTTGAAAAGGAAATGAGGCCATTTTAAAAAAGTAGTTGGAGGGGAAGATTTTCCATGGAGTCTAGAACAGAAAGAAAGACCCAAGAGTTAGTCAAGTTTTCAAACTTCCAATTGGGAGGTAGGGAGGTGCAGGGCAGACCATAAAATTCTACAGTAAGAAAGACCATACATTTAAAAAATATATATATGTTATGTGTATATACACATATAATGTATATACACACATATGTGTGTATGCATACACACACAAATATATGTATCTCAATTGTGAGCCATATAAAGAAAGTACATGGGCCAGAGATCCTGTATTCAATTCAATTGTTACATTTCATTTGTTTTCCCTTAAATATTTTTTTTCTTTTTCAAGTTTTTATTAAATTCCAATTGGTTAACATACATTGTAATATTTTAGTTTCAGGTGTAGAATTTAGTGATTCGTCACTTATATACAACACCCAGTGCTCATCACAAGTGCCTTCCTTAATACCCATCACCTAGTTAGCCCATCTCCCCGCCCACCTCCCCCCCAGAATTGGTACATTTCATTTTATTTTAACTGGTAAACTTGGAAGTGGTTGGAAAAAAAGCAGAGTTAACTCTGGAAATTTGTCAAAGCTCAAGAAAGCTTCCAAGACCTATAGACATTTTTGTTCCAGGAAAGCAGGGTTGCCCAATTCCTCTTACCCTAAAAATATAACAAGAGACTGTTGACAAGGATTGCACATTTTCTCCATTGTGTTCATTTGGGGTAAGAGGTTGAAATGATCTGAATCTTGATTTGACCGTATAGTTCACACAACCAGACTTGGCCTGAGCATTTTACCAAACCCAATCGACACACCAAGCCCCTTATAGAGAGACCCCTTGTTATCCACAACCTCTCCCAGCTCTAATCCTGCATCCTGTCTTCTGAGAGTCAGAGTTCATGTTCATTCACCATGAAACAGGAAAAAACTAAATATTACACAGTACAGTTTCTGACACATAAGATACAGCAGAATGCCTGTGGACAACATCTGAAGATCCTGGCAGGGAGCCTCAGGTGTGAGAGCCAAAGTGGTCCCTGGTCTCAAGGGCTTCAATATCAACAGGGGCAGATTAGGAGCAGCAAAGGGAAGGCAAAAGTAGAAAGAAAACAAAAAAGACAGGCAAGGAGAAAAACTTAAAGTTTCACTAAAGGAGCAGATCCAAAACTTGGAGGAAAGATTTGGATGCCATGTGGCCAAACTCCTCCTCTCCAACCTTCATTATGATGTCTGTATCTGCACATAGAGGCACCAGAAAGTGCATTAATAGTTATTAGGTTTAGGGTGAGAACAATTCTGTAGGACCCTGCTTTTAACCTCTGTTTAGATCACTGGAGAACTCTTGAGAATGGGCTTCCTTCAGTGAGATGAAGTTCAAGGCAGTTGCCGTGGGACATCCAGTGTGGTATGTAGGAATAGCAGAGATGTGGTTTCATTTTCAAGGGTTATGAGCCACAGCGATTGGAAGCAGGTAATGGGATAAAACTGGTGTGTGGGCAGGAGGCCTCATTTTGAAACTATCTGCTGCTCTCATAAATGCATTAGTCTGGTGGATTAGGTGATGAGCAGTGGACAGAATAAAGAGGTGCAGATACTGAATAAAGAGAAGAAAATAACATTGCTTGCCTCTCAAAAGAGCGACTACACTGGCTATCAATTTGAGTCTTTTTTTTTCCCAAGACTTGGTAGCCCAAAATCATACAATGAGCCCCTTCTGGTAAATTCATTGATTGAATGAAGAAATCACTAGATAGTACCGCATATTATTATAAAAAGAAGTCTTGCTTGACTTAAAGGAGAACCAATTACTGACTTGGACTCCTATCTAAGAGGAATCAAATCTGGGATGCATTTCTAAAACAAAATATTCATTTTGCTTCTTAATATCAGGGTGCACATAGTCAATGCTGAACCTAGTTTTACATTTGGTTCCATATGCTGTGCCCTAGGTAATTAAAGTATGTCTTATGGCTAATAAAAATGAAGTTAAAAAGTCAAAAACCAAAACAATGACAGGAAATAACATGTGTGTACAATATGTTACCAACACACTGATAATTTTCAAAAGTGACTTTAAAAAAAAGTATCATAAATCTTTCAAAACACAGTGATTTATTAAGCAAAAAGTCTGAGTGGTTTGCACTATTAAATTTAGCTTTTGAGTTGCTGTGTCACAGGCAGATCTTTTGTTCTCCTAGGTTAAATTTAGCCTCTTGGATTTTGTTTTTTTCCACTGCAACATGTTTTATCATCACACAGCCAATTTTCTGAGCTGCTCAGGAGAAATGCTCTAGAATTTCACTCTGATTTCTCTTACTGGTTGTATAATCTGAGAATCAAATGTATCGAATAACCCAACAATGATTTATTTCCCATCTTCTTCTTTGCTCTTTCCCACCTATATGACTTTCTCATAAAATAAACCTTCCCTAGGCATGGGATGAAATGGGAAAAAAAAAAAAAATGTGGTGGCCCGAGGAAAACCATTTCAGAAATGTGTTTGTTAAACAAGTGCAAGCAATAAATTGAGCTTAGGAGGGAAAGGCGGTTAGAAGAAAAACTGAAAGTACTGACCTGAGAGTCAAGCTGATTGGAGCAAGGGTGAAAGCAGCGATTTGGAGGATAAGCAGAAAGGAAAAGGGATAGCAAAAGAGAATAAAAGGAAGGAAATGCATTAGTTTTAAAAATACAGCCAACAGATGTTATATTAGCAGGTTATAACCAAATGAAGGACAATAAAGCAACTTTTATCTGATATTACCCCAAAAAGCCCGGGGCACACACTGTAAGCTGTTCTACTAAATATTACACTTAAAAAACCAGTATCTGCTCTCACGCTCTATCACTGTAAGCACGGTGTGAACCAGAGGTGTGCTCCAGCAATCCAGCAGCAGAATTTTCCCTTTACTGGAGGAATACTCATAGGGAAAGTTCCTATACGTGTCCATACAAAATTTTATTATTTAATAAACTAAAATGGAATTTACTAAGATATTAGAGCTAGTGGTAAGCACTGAGGTCGGAAAGATTTTATTTGAACCAGGAAGTTAGATGGTTATATCTTATGAGCTAGTCTTCCTTCCTCCTTGAAAACCAAAAGGACCTGAACAATTTGGCTTTCTGTTCAAAGATTTCCATTTTAGACGCTCACAAAGCACTGCACCTCACAATGATCAAAAACACTGTGCGCAGGGCTTCAGGTGAGGTGCTGCCTGCCTATCAGCCTCCCAAGAGAGGACAGGGCAACTTCCAAAGCTGAGAGTAGTTTTTCTTTTTTTTTCAGTTGTGAAAATGAGGATCATACTTCATCACTGAAAATATCCAGATGCTTGATAACTTATTTGTGCAAAAATATTTAACATGCCCTTCTAGTTAGTCAAAATAATAAAGTCCCAAATCCAAGCAAAAATTAAAAGAAAAAAAAAAGTAATGATCTTCTTCAAGTTACAATGGGAGCATACAGTGGGCATTCATTTTGCGAACCTATATAATGTTCTTTGTAAAAAACAAAGTGGATGAACAAATATGTTACCAGCTAGTATGGACCCCACCACTCCATACTATTAAGAAGGAATTTTAGGGGCACCTGGGTGGCTCAGTAAAAGAGCATGTGACTCTTGATCTTGGGGTTGTGAGTTTGAGCTCCTTGTTGGGTGCAGAGATTACTTAAATAAATGAAACTTTAAAAATTTTTTAAAAATAAGAAGTAATGTTAAGCATCTCACAGAGGAAGGAAAAACAAAACAAATCCTCAGGAGAAAACTTAAACAAGAACATTTCAAATGAAAATAGTGTTGATCATAATGATAAAAATCAAAGAGAAAATTCAGGATTAAACACACGGTGAAAGCATCAGTCCAATAATCCCTCACGTCTGAAATCCCCCTGCACAGTGTTTCGTGATCATAAACACACAACTGATTAAAAATAAGTTAGATCAGGCCATGATCGTTGTGGGGACTTTGGCACCAGCTGTTACTTCAAATTCTTCTGGATCAGAAAGGTATATCAAATTGAGGTCCATGGCCAAGCTTTAGAGAATCCTAAATTGAAACAGCAATTAAGATTAACTGCCTTTTCCAAGGATTCCTAGTTTTCATCAAATTCCCAAGGGCATCCATGACATCCATGACCTTCCCAAAGGGTTGCTAGGGATGGTGCAAAACTATCTGCTACTTGCTTGACTAAAATTTCTTCAAACGCTTTACCAAACATAAATGGCTATTTCTCAGCAAGAAGAGTTTATATCAGAACAAATAGAACTGGTATCAGGTTTCTTTGATGTACCATGAGACTTCTAGAACATGGTACCATTTTTTTTTAAATAAAGCTTCAGTTTACATTTTGTTAAAAGTGTTCTAAAAGGCATCAAAGAAATTATGTCATCACATTATAGGAAAAATTCAGAAGGAAAAATAACAGTCTGTTTCTCAACCTTAGATAAGGTGCTTTTAGGCATCTAAGATGATTTCTCAAATGTCCGAATGTCTGATGACATTAGTCAGTGACCCAGATAATTAAGTGCTCCCTGTTTTCTATTCTGATGTTATGTCTTAGGAGCAGAACCCCAAAGGACACACACTCTTCTCCACACTGGGGAAGGATGTGATCAAGGGCTTGATTCGGGAATTCCATGTCCCCTAGAAAATACCAACAACCCCCCCCACCATATTTAGGATAATTACATGAATGGTCACCTGACTGATACCATCCCATGGCTGAGATGCAGAAACCTAGTGACAGCAGGTCTTGTTTGACAAGAGATCTGTTAACCTCTCTCTTTCCCCTAAGGCAGAATTAATTCTGAAACTCTAAATAAAACTCAGAGCCCTTGACAGGCACTGACACAGAAAGACCACATATTTCACTCCCTTTAACGTTTGATTACCTATCTGATCACATAGCAGACGTGGTATTTGATCACCAGTGATCAAATAAAGACGTCAGCCTGATTTGGACCAACTCTTAGGGGTATGCTCAAGGCCCTTCACCCACCTAGTGTCAAACTTCCCCAGAGTCCATTCGCATGCTGTCCAAGGCAGAAGCTCCCTGCTGAGCCATCAGCATCAAGTGCAAAAATTTATAGGAAAAACTGCACATGGGGAACACACTGGAGCAATATGCATTTTGAAAAGCAAAATCTTCAATGGCTAATGTAAAACATCATTCACGTGGAATTTAAGAGGTAAATGCATCCATATAAGTGCCAGGCATATGCTATTTGGAATGTATACATTGTGAAGAAAATAAAAAATGGGAAGATTAGCAGAGTAGAAAGCAAACAAGAATTGCCCTCTGAGTGAGAAGTAGGCCAGCGTCAGTGCCATTTGAGTTATGCTATTCCTAACCCTGAACCTTTTGTTGCACATGACTGAAGTTCTGGAATATTTTAGAACACTTGTTGCTTTTAAAAAGAAGTCTTTTCACTCTGGTAGGTCACATTACAGACCAGAGACCACAAATTTATTTCAAGTTCAATTTTTTGGTTTTCAAAATCACAAACTTAATTGCAAACACTGCTCCATGACTCCAAAAGGGAGATATATGTCACACTGCTAAGAAATCTTTAGTTCCCAACATTACGAGGTAGGAATTTTGTAGTTTAAGCCAGAAAATGGAGATATTGTCCAATTTGAAAAGGGCTGCCTGACAAACAAGGAAGATGTTTTGGTCAGGATACACATGGAGCCCAGCAGATACTGCTTCAGAAAGGCAGGCCAAGGTTGAGCTCTTCTTTTCCCAAGAAACTTCCCCTCTTACTTTCCACCGCCCCCCCAACCTCCTTTGGGGCCTGGGCTGGGGCTGGGTCTCAGACATTTCCCAGACTATGTTCTGCTGCTGGACCCAAGACACAGGCAGGCAGAGAACTGGGACAGACTCAAGTCTCACCACACGTTTTATGAATTACAGTGCCTGGGAGGCATCAGCTTTAAGGAAAGGCAAAGGCAAAGATAAAGAAAATGTGCAGAAAGTACATAAAGATAAATGCCTGTAAAATCACTGTTGTTTTAATGCATTCCATATTGAGGATATAAAAAATGTGAATATTCTCGATGATTTAATGGCACTAGTGTCCAGCTAAGACCTGTTTGTCCAACTGGATGACGATGCTATTTTTATGCAAATATTTATAGTAGCTGATCCTGATTTTTCAGTTACAGTTCTGGGGACCTGGGTTAGCGCAGAAAAATGCCTTCAAAATGTGGGCCACATCACTTTCTCTCATGAAAGCTAATAAAGATGAGACAGATCTCCTGTGGCCCAACGGCAATGCCTCTCTCTCTCTGCAGGCCATGTGACTGTTTAGTGCTACTGGACTAACTTCTTCCTTCTGGCTCATTGTTAGACAGGACTGTTCTCAGTCACTAACCTGTTAGACCTGGGTTCAAATTCTGACTTTGAATCTTACAAACTCTGAAAGCTTTCGGAAGTTACTTAATCCATATAAGTCATAGTTTTCTCATCTATAAAATGAAGATAATGATACTTTCTGTGTTGTGGGTAAGATTAAATGGTATACAGTATTGCAGGTCAAGTGCTCGTCAGAGTACCTGATACACACTGTGAGCATAAAATATACATAATCTATTACTGTTATTGTAATTACTATTATTAATATTATCTAGAGCATAGGTAATATTATGCCCTTCAGAGGCTCACAGCTTCTCAGAACAGTAGACTAGGAGTCAGGAAACATACATTATAGTTTTGCCGAATTCTCACCACAGGACCAATCTCCAAGAGGTAATTCAACCTTTCAGGGTCTCAGTTTTCTCAACAATAAAAGAGATGTGATGGTAACATCCCTGTGATCTCACATTAGCTATTTAAGAAAACTTTTGGTCCTAATATATAATTCCAAAGTAGACATGTAGACACATCTAAAATTAACAGTGTTTTTAAGAACCAGTAGACAGAACATTCCTGCATTTTAAAATTAAAACTAACCCTTTAAGGATTTTAATTTGTATACTTATCTCAGGAAAAGAAATTCTTGATTTAATCACTAAAACTGGTCACACTGTATAAAAATCTGGATATCATCAAATCAATACTAAGATTTTTAAGTGAAATATTAATTGATTTAGAGTTTGAATATATTAAATAGTATCCTTGAAAATGTTGAAAATTTGAGAATTGACCTATCTATTTAATACATGGCCACTTAATATTGAGAGTTTATGGGGCACCTGGGTGGCCCAGTCGGTAAAGCATCTGCCTTCGGCTCAGGTCACGATCCCGGGGTCCTGATATCGAGCCCCACGTCAGGCTCCCTGCTCAGCGGGAAGCCTGCTTCTCCCTCTCCCACTCCCCCTGCTTGTGTTCCCTCTCTCGCTGTGTCTCTCTCTGTCAAATAAACAAATAAAATCTTAAAAAAAAAAATACTGAGAATTTATTTGTTTTAGCATTCAACTATTCCTAATGATGTAACTATCCCACCAGGACTTGGCACCTGAAAAGTATGATACATTTTAAAAGATTGTTAGAGATTCACTTCTAACAAGATTTAAGGTCACAGAGCCGGCACAAAACAGAAGCAAAATTTGAACCCAGATCTTTCTGTCAGTACAGCTCATTATCTTTCCACAGGCCACAGAGAGCTATTCCGCATATGTCTTAAAGTCCTGTCGGGCCTCACAAGTGTCTTGATCAGAGCTGGCAAACATTCACTGATTTATTCAAAATTTGTTGATCTCTTCCATATGGACTGAATCTAGGAAAGACAAATTCTGCCTTATTGCTGAACCAATAAGAAATCCTCAGAGGTAATGGAGTTACGTTATTCAGAAATTCTTTCCTTATATGAAATATAGGAAAAAGCATTGATAGAAAGCTTAATTTTTAGAGTCTATCTTATACATAAATGCAATATGGATATGATTTATCTGAAAATCTAAATACTCTGGAACCCTGATATAACCTTCTTTGTTTTTAGACAGAATTTGCTATCAGGTAGGCCTGCCTTAGACCCTATTCAAACATATTTATTTAACAAATGCTGTAAGGTCCTCTTAAAAGATACATCCCAAGATGAATCTGTTGTGGTGTGCCAAAAAACATCCAAAGGATATGAGCTCCTTTCCCTTTCTCCTATCTTGAATGAATTGCCAAATATAGTCTTTGCTTGAAACAAACCTAAACCACAAATGCTGTCTTTCATGGGAAAAACAAAAAAAACAAAAAACTAAGCTTTCAAGTAGTCAAAGCCTCAATTTCTCACACACTTTGCTGGCACACATGCTAGATGAGGGACATCACTCAAGAAACTTGGCCATTACTTTCTTAAACACTTAAGAAGTACATAACCCCTCAAAAGATAAGCCAATTGCCTTCTTGAGTATCCCACAGAAACATAACATCATCCCTAACAGGTCCTGTTCCTCATACGTACCTCATTTCCAACTTGAAAATGAATGTGCATTCCAAATCCACTACAACCTGTGATGGGCAACTAAGCAATCCATGTTCACTCGCTGCTGACAATTCACAACATGACTGCAAAATTTACCTCTCAAGTTCTGCAATCTTCTTGTCCTTGTCATTCTTTTCATTCTCCACCTCCTTGAGGATCTCCAGCAACCGGTCAACTTCCGCTTGGGCCTTGCCACACTCATCACGGTAGTAAGATGCCTCTTTATCAAGTTGTTTTATTCGGTCTGCAAACTCGGGGTTCATCCTGGAGTCATCTTCAACATTATGAGCCTTCAACATTATATTTTTAAAGAATGTAGTTAAGACAACAATTTAGAACAATAGGTAGTGTAGTAACCAATGGCCCAGAAATTATCTTTGGAGAAAAAATAATAACCATCAAGAATTATGGGTATACTGTCAGTTAAAAGGCAAAATGGAAAATCACACATTTCAGCTACCTTAAAACAATGCTGATTTTAAATTTATTACAGTTTCACAGGAGAGTTTCTTTTATTGTTAATATTTTGTTGCATTAAATGTTACTACTTTGGGGGTTTTTTTCCCCACCAAAAACTGGGGGATGGGTGGGGGGAGACACCGTGATATCTTTATTCCTGATGCTTTGGCAAGCAGAACTAACACAATTCAACTCCTCACAGTTAAGGAGGTGATTCATACCAACAGCTTCCTTTTCCAGTAGAGAAACTGAGATAAAACAATATTAAATTATTTTTCCAAGAATCATTGAAGGTCTATGTAAAGCCAGGTAACATGTAAAAGACTGGTTGACTGATCACCGAACACCATCCCACTGAGAAATTTCAGCAGAAGATGTAGGTTGAAAGAAAGACTTGCAAGTGAGGAAGGGATTTCCAGCTAACAGTCATACCCATAAATTCTTGTTCTCTTTATTAAATTTAACCTGAACCAGGAGGAAGATGAGCTAATTCATGAACAAGCACACAGACGAGAATCTGCAAACACATGCATGGGTGGGTGGCAGCTTCTCACACAAGACCATACACAGGCAACAACACAGCAACAACACTGCAGAATAATTTGCAGCCAAAGTATTTGTGGTTTTGTGTGTCTGAAAGTGTGTTATGGCTTTTTTTTTCCCAAAAGAAACTTTTGGCTGAAATATTCTCAGACAGATGGAAATAACACTGCACTGCAATGTTTTGCCTACCCCTTGTTTCCCATTATTCCTAATTGAGTTCTTCGAAGAGTAGGCAGGGAAAAAACAAGTAGTTTAACAACAGTGCACATTCAACAGAGAAAGTTCAGAGAAGTCATATATGTATGTATCTCCAAAATCCATGTGTGAAATCATACAATGTTAACAATTTATTAGGACTTAGGTTGTTCTGCTGTCTTGCTCTATAGAACAGATGTTCATTGTGTTTTTGTATCTTTTTGTTTAATTTCAGGGAAAAAACAAGGCAAGCAAGCTACAGCTACTGTGGGGTTAAATGAATCATGCATGGTTAGAAAAATTAATACTAATAAGTACTACTGTTACAAGGTTGACAGTTTTTGCAATGATTTAGTTGAAAAAAATTAAAAGATTAGTATAAAAATAAATTTCTTATTTATGACAAAATAATCATTTTTAGAATAATATTCTTGCATGTAACATATTATTTAAGCATGAGGATAGGAGGAAAATAATTTGCTTTCATGTTCTTTAATCTAAGCTTTCCTTATTCAAGAAATAAACTCAACTATGCAAAAAGAACTTGGAGAAATTTATCAATTCAACACTACTATCAGGTACTGGTTTATTCCCTTTTACCAACATTTCTCAGAAAGCATTTATTTTTATTTACTTAGTATATCTATTAGATTTCATTCTAATAGATTAGTGAGCTTTTTCAGTATAATTAAAATAATCTGAAAGAGAATCCTGAGCTAATATGCCTTTAGAAGTTTATTCATCTAACAATTTTATTTTAAATTGAAGTAATGAATATTTAAATTTGTTAATCTCCATTTTTAAAATGTAGAGTCGATATTCTACTTTAAAAGAAAATACTCCATATACCTATTTCTATTTGTGATAAGAATCACTTCATTACTCTTGTATCAGAAAAGCACTGAAAATATAGTTTTAAAAATTCCTAAGAAAAAGAAAACAAAATATTGATGTTCATTCTCTTCCACTTTTATGCCATATTACCATTATTTTATGGCAACTAAAAAGGTTTTTCATGACATTTTCTCAAACTACCTGAACAACAATATTAAGATCTTTAAAAAAAGAATTCATGAACTGAGCTAGAAACACACAAAACAAATATAAATATGCCTTGATTTCATGTTTCTGATTTGAGTTAAGATTCCTTTCTTGACTCTGATTTAAAGATTCACAAAGAGCTAGCAGTTAGCCACTGTGCTTTATTTTGGTTGTTTTTATTCTTATGATTATTATTATCATTATTTTTAGTAAATGGGCACACAATTACTAGTTGTGAGACCTAGATTCTAAATCTAGCCCTGTGTCTTACGACTACTACGGGCAAAGGAGTTAGCCTCTCCAAGGACAGCAAAAGCTACCACATAACAAACACGGAGAAGGTATTATTTATTTGTGTTCTTATTATGAGTATTATTTTATGATATGCATCCCACCGGTGGGGCTTGTTATACAGCTAAGTTAATAGGTCTATTTAGTTTCTCATCAAGATACTACATATGTCTTTAGATAAGCCTCCCTGCTAGGCTTACAGAAAAAGCAGTCTACTGGTGAATGGGTATCTGAGCACATTCTTTATTTTAGCTCTGTGAAGAGAAGATAACCCAAGGCCAGCTTTTGGTACTGGGTGAAATTAGGTGGGTTGGTAGTCTTTTCAACCGAACAAATGAATATGGTGAAAGGACTCATAGGATGTTTAGAAGTACAGAAAGCCTAGGAAGACATGCCTGAATCTAGACCACTGTTGGCCTCATGTGATATTTAAGTTAGATCATGTTATTAAAACAGATCATAGCCAAGTTTACAGTTAGCCTGGTATCTCTTAGATAATATTTGTAGGTGCTAATGATTCTTCCTCTTAAAAGGAATAGGCAACCATAAGAATACCTTTGATTAAATACATCTCCATATCAATGATAGGTGCCAGAATTCTTCAAAGGGTTATGAAATAAAGGTGTAAATAGATACCATTTAAAAATTGTTAAGTCAAGGAAAGCTTTAAGAAAGAGTCATATAGAGATGGATGAGTAACAGTTGCTTCTGGGTCATCACTAGTGCCCATGTGAAGACTCAAGGGAGGAGAGTTTCACCTGACTGACAGCTGGTAAGTCCCCGATCTAACCCCAGTAGTGGGGGCAAAAGTCTCCACAGAATTTATCAAAGATATTGCAGGTAACCACCTCTATTCAGCTTGAATCATAACTTTTCAGAGGATGGGCTGAAATTGTTAACCAGTGTAGCATGAGAGTGTTATACTATCATCTACAAACATGAGGGTTATACTATACTAAAGAAATACAGGAGGAAATTGAGCTTAGAAAGCAATGCTTCCTTCCAAGTTATAAGGCCAGAGCCTCCTCTAAAAATGAAGTGAAGGAAGCACTTTGTTAGCATTTAGGAATGTTCTTCCCTTTTCAAAATATAACATGGGTTCTTTAACCTGGAATGGTAGCTCCTGATGGGGATTAAAAGTAGATAACAGAATTGGACTTAATATACTTTAGACACTGCAGAAAAAAATAATATATATATATTTGAATAATCATTATCTGAACAAATTCCTACCATGGCATTCTGACCCATTCAAGGTTTAAACTACAAATACACAGCAATTATTTCTCCTTATGGATCTGTTGACTTGAAATTAGCTCCCCCAAAAGGTGGGGAAGTGACAGCCCATTTCATTCTAAGGCACATCAACTTTGTCCCCTCTCTTCATTAGTCAGGAATCTTAACTCTTGAAAATGCAGACTGATGTGGATTTAATGGTTCTAGAAGCTACTTATTATAAAAATAGGGACGAACACTGTCACTTTCAAAGACATCCACCAGTCATTAAAACCAAAAAAATATGAATGAGCATTCTTTTCTTAAGGTAGAGATTTAATTTTGCTGATTAAACCAGTGAGTTTATAGGCAAATCCAGGTATTTGGTTATGCCTTTAACATATTTCTGGTAACTTTTAGAGCAACTCTCAAGCATCCCACAGAAACACAGAAAATTGGGAAAAGAATATTTCAGAAATGTCCATATTGCATATTAGATCAGTAAGTTCTGAGAATCCCCCAATTATGTTTTCCTACATATCCACATGTAAGGAAATTTCCCCACAAATGGGAATAATCAAAACAAACTTTGGAGCCTCACTGATGTGGGCAAGCCTTGGAATTTTGATGTGAACTGACTTTGAAAGCCTGAATCAAGCACAAAAGAGAAATCTGGCCATGACTTAGGACAAGTAGTATATAACAATGCCTAGTGGCTATTTTAATTATAGAATTTAGAACTATTTCAGGAAATAAGGCAAAGTTTCAGGTTAATATTGTATTTAAATTAAAGTTAAGAGCAAAGTGACTTAAGCCAAACCAGGGATTGATAGTATCAATATGAAAAATCACAAGTTTATTAATAATTCTCTTGTAAAGGTTGGATGTTGATTATTTTCAATAAAATTCTAGTTCATCATTCCAGGTGCCTAGAAAGGAAAGCATTAACTTTGGCCCAGAAACCTGCTGTGAAACTGGGCAGGGAATATTCAATTATAATATTATACAGCATTCTTTCTTTGAAATGGGGCCTAACAATTTAAAGAAGTCATTTCTTTCAAAATAAACAAATGATTAGTCATGATCATAAAGCACAAGCAGAACACTAACTAATGAGTCTGATGGTTTTTCTTCCCTGCTGCTTATGGGTTTTAGCAATAATTTGTTAAATTTATGCACAGTGAAAATATGATTCTTGATTGCAGCACTTTGGGGGGTTTAAACATTCTTTTCATATCTGAGCAGCAGAACAGGGCGTATAAACTACTTTAAACATTGTATTTTATTTCAATCTTCTAAAAGAAGTTCCAACCTTCACATAATTCTGAGCTATGAACAAACCTTACTTTTAAAAATAAGGCTTTAAGGGTGATTATAGAACTTCAACATATTATAAAATTTACATTTTATTTTAAATCCAATTATTAATTAATACCAAATATAAAAGCTGAGCCTAAATAGTACATTCAGAATCTAATAATGATGTATCTTCGAATCTTACACTACTTAGTTCTAAAGGAAACTTCTTTTACAATTCTAGCTAAGC